GACTGGAGGGTTTGAGGCGTAGGTGAATGTGACGGTTGTGGTGAGTTGGAACGACTGTACATGGCTGTCTCGAGGGTATCCAGCGAACGTATTGTGAACGTATTGCAAACCCAATTCGCGATTGGAGAAAGTTGCGGACTCTGTCACCGCAACTTTCCTCAATCAAGTTTCACACTCATTGATTCCCGCGGTGTGAGTGATCCGAGTCTTGAATCGGGTAACTGAAACTCGATTTGTCCCCGAGTTAGGGTAGACCCGACGTTTGGTTGAAACAGGTCCTTTTGGGTGAGACTGAGTGGCGATCGGCTTGGAGCTGCTTGGAAGTGTACCAATTCACATTTTTTTTTGATTTGTCTATTGAGCTTCAACAGTTAACCAATTCTTTATCTTCGAGTGAGTCTCGCTGGACCCGATGACTTCTTTTCAGTCCAGACCATCAAAAGAAACAATCAACTTGATACGACTCATTCATCGGCTGGAGTCACATTCTCAACGTATTCTCATGCCATCCCTTCAATCTCATCGCGATTCTAAGCCAAACGACGTGGATCCAGAAAGATGGTATTGGGAGCTCAAGAGTCTTGAAACGGTACGGTTCTTGTAATGCTTTCCAGGCTGGGATTGCCCTTACTTATTGTCATCTGCTTCCCAGACCGTCCGACACGCCAAAACAATCCTTGACACCTTGGACTCAAACCCGACCACTTCTCAAACTATCAGGTTCATCCCATCACCCGCGCTTGGAATCCACAATGTGATCACTGATAAATTCTATAAATTTTATTTGCCAGTCAAATCGTGGCTCAAGATCCCAGCACATTGAAACACAGGCTCCGTGTCGTTCAAGATCGCATACAAGCTGCTTTACAGGTTTGTCATTGCTATTCCCAAGCATCTCAAAGATATCTTCAACTGAGATCATTGTGGCCCCGTGTCAGGAATGCCCACCTCCTACGCCACCCTCCACTCCACCGTTTCGATCAAGAATCAAACCTCCAGAGCTACCTTCCCTACCCACATGCCTACCCACTAGCCTTCCCCACCACTCTCCTTCGGACCTGTTAGAGCAGATGGAATCGGACAACCTTATGAGTGAAAGCCCTGAACTCCCTCAGCTGCCACTCAAACAGGAAGTCAATCCACGTCAAGCTCTTCTCGGGACCCCGGCGGGTGGGAACAAGACGACGGAAGCCATCCTTCAACAGCATCGATCGAATGAGGATGAACTGTCACATGAGCTATCCGAAATGGCTGCACAACTCAAGCGCAATGCTCATCACTTTGGCAAGCTATTGGGTGAAGATAGAAATCTGATAGAAAATAATGCGACCTTGCTTGAACGAAACCATGATCAAATGAGACGAGAAGGGGGAAGGTTGGGAGAGGTGACGGTGAAGGGGAGACAGATGACCTGGTTCACAATCTTCGCCGTTGCGGGGGTGATGATAGCATGGTTCATGATGTTCATAATTATTCGATTTTCCTGAGAGAGGCGAGCCGAGTACTCTCTCCTTCATTCTTCTTCAAGCCCGAGGCGAGATGGGCCGTGGATCACAAAACCTTTAGCGAGAAGCCTACTCTTTCAGCGATGGAATGTAAATAATATAATGGAACATGTATACAACTAACTGCAAACCAGGTTTGGTTTGAGTGTTTGCTGAACTGCCTCTACATACATAGCTTGTCAACGATGTGTCAATTTAAAAAGATGTAAAAAGTCCTTGCAACAACGCATTCTGAGTAGAGAGATCACAGGTGAAATTATGGTCAAAACCAGTTTGACCAGCACCATATGTGATGAGTGCCTTATTTTATATTCAGATTGCTTGCAGATTGCCAGAAACTGAAGGGATCAATCCTTCAAAATAAGTAACAAGAGCAGTAAAATCTCATCCAATAAGCAACCGGTATAATTTCCTTCCAATCATAAAACAATCCAAATGTAGTTGTAACAATAGTTTGACAAAGAATCCGGCGTACAAAATGATTACAAAGTGGTCTTGAATGACACAAACAATTCGAATGAAAGGGATTGATGATACGAGTAATGAAAATATAGAAGACAGCACCGACAAGGATGATACGCAAATAATCAAGAAATTCATGAAAGGCCATCAGAATTAAAATGATCAAGAGGAAACAAAGCAAACAGCGGAGAAAAAAAAGTTTGAACGAAATGAGGACAAGAAAATTTCCATTGAATAGGGATTGATGATGCGAGCAATGAAAATATAAAGAGGATAGCACCGACAAAGATGGTACGGAAATAATCAAGAAATTTATTAAAGGTCATCAGAATTAAAATGATCGAAAGAAAGCAAAGCAAACAAGGGAGAAAAAAATGTTTGAACGAAATAAGGACAAGAAAAAATTCCATTGGATAATTCATACAACAGAGATCATGAGCATGTGAATTGAACGATATTCTGAGGGTATTTATACACAGCTCATTTATGGAGGTGACCAATTACACGTGAGCTAATACGGCTACCAGTTTTATACAACCCGCAAGGGACGGTTTCCTGCTTTCACAATCTGCTTCCTCTCCTGAATGGGGGAGCGCATCGAACCAGAACACTTCGGCAGTGTGGTTGTTTCGGTGGTGCTGAAAGGTGATTTGATAGTGGAAGACATCGCTGGCCAAATTGGTAAATGATGCTCAACCAGCTCGTCTTGCTCATCAATGACCACCAAAGAGCCAATAGAAGACCGCCGGTCATTGAAATCGTCATCATCGGCGAGTTGCAATTCATCTTGGTGTGCCATTTCTACCGGCTCGACGTGATGCTCCTCATCTTCGATCTGAGATGGACTGCGGTATTTAACATCATCTGAGCTAGTCGTACTCGAGTGGATAGAGGCGTTCGAGTCTGCTGGCTTTTTTATTGCGCTGATACGAAGCAAGCCTGAAATGATTGAATCCATCTCTTCCTCTGAACTATCTGTGTCTTCATCCGCAGGTGGCTGGAAGCGCTTTAATCTAGTTTCGGTCGGCTCCGCGGGATTTTTGTAGTCAGCGACATACCCGCTAAAGGTTGCATTCGCGGGCTCCTTTCGATCAGAAGTGGTGGAGCAAAGAAGAGGATACAGAGTAGCTGGGTCAATGGGTGATGATGTCTCTCCGTCCGATGATGGTCGCGTGATTGGCGGGGTCGGTATCGCTTTCAAGGGAATGGATTGGGGGCATGAAGATGGAATCGTTATAGTTTTTGTGGTCGCTTCTCGAGCCACGAGTTTCTTCTGCTCTACCGTACATTGGGTTGAGCGTGTGAATTGCAATGTCTCCGCGGACGATGTGATTGAATCAGCCTTTCCTCCTTGCGAACGGGTATAGAGTTCCTCGGAGTGAGTGAAAGCTGTGCAGGAATCAGGTGATCCTTGCACGCTTGCTATACCTTGCTTTGCTTTTTCGGCCAGGAGACCTTTGATTTTTGAGATCCTAAAGTATGGTAATTTTCGGGCTGATGTACTAACGTCGATGCGGACCTTGGACTCAGCGGAATTTCTGGTTGCTGCTGTATCCCAGTGCGATAGCTCTACAAACTCCCTCGATTCAAAGGGATTGATGGACTGGACGGACGTGACAGGACTGCTGGGTACGCTAATCACTGACTTCGAACTACTTAGGCTTGCTTCAGAGAAAAGTGAGGACCGGTACTCGCGTAGAGGCGGCGCAGGATTGGCAGGGATAGAGCCGCAGAATACAGTTCCGTCCGTGTTTTCTTCTTTTGTACGTTTGGATGATGCCCGTTGGATCTCAATGTGCGACGGGGAATGCGATGCACTGGAGGCGGTGGCCAACAAGCAGGACGTAGGTTTCCCGAAGCAAGCACCATGGTCGATTTTTTGCTGGGGTGGGCACGCCGCCAAGCTCTCGATGTAGGGATGGTTTGGGTGACTTCTGTTTGCTTGCACCGATTTGAACGCCGCGTCCATAGCGGTCGTCTGTTTATAGACGACTGAGTCCATTGTATGATCGACCTGCACGTAGCGTTCATCGTGCCATTGCATCGGGAGTGTGAATTGCTTGAACAAATAAGCAACCTTGCTTATAGTGCGTCAAGAACGACAGAAGACTTGCCTCGTGGAATCTGGATGATTCAGCTGAATTGGCTCGCTCGGACGAGAACAAGAACGAAACAATTGTTAATGCTAAGCAAAAAGTGGAGGCTGCCCAAAGTCCAGGTGCCAAAATAGCAAAATCGGTGGACGAAAGGCAAATACTGTCGTTCCCAAAATGCTTGCCACATCGACCATTTTTTAATCGAGCTGGTGGTCCGTGCGCGCTGTCAGAAACAGACAAGAGAAGTGATCACGCAAGAGGAAAAGAACCTCCCTGTCACAAGATTCCATAGCCTTGAAAGAGAGAGAGGGAACCCTCTTTTTGGAAACCCCGACATGAGATTTTTTCCTCTTTTCCTCGCCCTCTTCCTCTTCCCACTCATCATCCACATCATCACTTCATCAATTTCAAGAATCTAAAAATCATTAAGAATGGTACCAAATTTCAAGTCTTTGTGATACGATTTTTGATTTTTGATTATCGTTTCAAAGAGTTTTTAACTTCGCAATAAACACTTAAACGTAAATTCAACATTACGTTTCCAGCCAGACTGTAATGATTTGAAATGTATAAGAAATTGAAATGTAGTTGCGAAGAAAGTTGTAGAGGAATAGAGTTGTATAAACAAATAGTTGTTAAAGATATTTGAATAATGTTGGTATGGAGATAACTATCTACGAAAATAATTAGAAAGTTGTAGTGTATATAAGAACATTGTAATAGCTTAGTAGTTGTTTCCTCATCGAATTATTAACGTAGTTTACATCACTCAAAACTAAATCCAAGTGCCTAATTATTAAGTAACACTTAATAAGACCCTGGACATGAGCCCTTACAGTATAATTCGATCTTTATCTTTTTTCCGCATCTTTTTTTATCTTTCTTTTTTATATTTCTTTATATTTCTTAGCATCATACTTAGTGCTATGTGTTATGTTGGTTCAGATTTATCTTTAATTTTTGTTTTTTCGTTCATACTTAGTTGGTTTATGTGTCATATTATTTTTTTAATTTTTCATATCAGTATTCTCAGATTAATTTTTCGAGTAAATCGGCTTTCTTTAGATCTTATTTTTCGGGTTTTCGGATTATTTTTTAAATTCTATCAAATCTTAATTTTGAACATCGTAGACTGTGGTGTCCCCGTTCTAGTTTGGGGATGCTATTACGTCATAATCGGTGTATCTCGTTTTTCTCCATTTCTCTACGCTATTTTTTCTTTAAAACCTTTTCGATCTTTCGGTCTATCGGCAACTCAATTCAAATCAATAATTCATCATTTTACTTCAATATCACTCAAATCACTTCAGTTCAACTATCAAGTATTATCAACCTGTTTAGTAGTTCTTCTGATAATGTCTCTACCTCGTCGAAACACTGCTTCTAATGCTGAAGGCATTGCTCATGAAGGTCTTTATGTTCTCTCTAATGAGGAGCATTTGTTTGTGACTCGTTATTTAGAGCCTCGCTTAACCTCTTTCAATACTTCAGTAAATAATGTGATTCATGAGCGTTTTGAAACTCATAATAGTGAAGCAGAAGAGAAGGTTGATAGGGTCATAAATGAACGAATTGATGCTCGGAACTCTGAGGCTTCAGAAAAGATTGATGATCTTATAAAAACTCACATCATTTCAGCCAAAGAAGAAATTTTAAATCATATACGTTCTGAATTTAATATGAAGTTTAATGCTGCTGTTTCCATTTCTACTTTTGAATCAGAATTACGTTCAAAGGTGGATGAAGGCTTGAATCGCGTAAAATCTGATCTTTTGTCTACTTTAAATCATCGTTTCTCAACTTTATCATCACCCGTCAACGCTTCTGTCAACGCTATTGCTCCTGTGGAACCTCCTTCAATTCCTGGTTTATTCTTTGAAGGGGACTCTAGGAAAGTCATCGGTTTTATTACAACTGTTCGAGATTATCTTGTGTCGACGGCCTCTTGTTTTTCCAACGAAGATCGCAAAATCGTATGGGTGGCTCGTCATTTTCCTCTGGCTTCAAGCTCTCATGATTGGTGGTTAAGTCTTCTTCGATTGAATGATCGAAAGAATGGAGCTCGGGATGATTTTTCGGCGGTGTCTCCTCCTTTTGAGATTGACCAGTTGAAATCCTTATCTGCTTTTTTTAAATCCATTTTTGATAAATTCGGTGATAAGTTTGCAGAAGACACTTTGTTTGTGGAGCTTCAAAATTTAATGGTAGCTTCCCACCAAAGGCACAACGTGGTAAGGCATTTCTATCGTCACCAAAAGGGTAAGAGACGAGTAGGTGCACATGTAACATGACATACACGACAGAGGCGGGTAGGTCAAAGAGTCAGAGAGTGAAACGAAAATTTTCATTACACTCTCTAGAAATCCTTTCCTGCACCTTTAGTCGTAGATCTTGTTTATCCAAGCTCTTCAAACTAGTTAAACTTGATTTAACAATTTTTCGCAATTTTTCACATCAAATTATAATCTCTTGAATCAATTCACTTTAGAAACGCAAAAAAAAAAAAAAAAAAAAATAGAACTCATTCACTGTCCCCTTCTAAAAACTCAATCAAACAAACAACAGTCCAGAATACAACCAGACTACCACTAGAAGCAGACTAGAATGGACAGCGAAGAGTTTCAAAAGCAAATTGACGAGGCTCTACGAAAGGATGAAGAGATAGGAAAAGGAAAAGGAGTAGAAGGAGCAGGAGAAGAGGCGAATGACGGAAGAGAAGGGAAAGAGAGTGAAAGAGAAACAGAAGGTCAGGCTAGGGAGGAAGAACTAGACAATAATCTGGCCCCAACAGTAGAAGAAAACGTACCCAAGCAGATCACCACTAGGCAGTCCAAAAGGAAAACGGCCCCACCTCCTCCATTCCCACCCCCAAGACCAAGTACGTCGAAAGCAATCGGCACTATACGGATTAAGAAAACGAAATTAGCAGAAGAAACGATCGTGAACAAACCAAAACAAATCACCAAACCTCCCACCAACAAACCAGCACCTGTCAAACCGGCACCACGAACGCAATCAAGACCGATCCAACAACAACCCGCTGAACAAAACCTTCTAGAGACCAATCAACAAATCGACTCGTCAGAAGAAGAAGACGACGAAGAGAACCAAGGTACGAACGGTGGAGGGATGTGGTCCGGTGCATACCAGACCAAGAACCGCCAACAACGGATGACAGTTGGCGGGATAACCTTGGGCGATGCAGACGAACGTTAGTAGAATAACACCACTTCATCACCCCAAACCCCCCCCCTCCCCTGTCTCTCTTCTTTCAAACAAACCCCCAGGGGAATTCTTCCAGAAAGGAAATGCCTCTACGGAGAAGAAAAGACAAAAAAAAAAAAAGAAAACCCAAATGCTCTACGCAAACCAAGGGAAGGGAAGACATCAGTCAATGATCTTACACAGACAACCCATTCAAATTCTCAAAAAAAAAAAAAGAGAAAGCAAAAGGAACTAACCTAAAGCGCACTTTTGACAAACTACTTTTGGTAGAAAACCCAATCGAGGAACCAGTCTCAACTGAACCATCGTTCGACGATAGCATCGCTATGCGCCTAGACAAAGAGATTGGTGCGGCATTCACAGCCGGAAACCGGGTGCTCTATGACCGCCTAACTAAGCAGAAAGAAGCCTGGTCGTCCTTCGTCGAGAAGAAAACGAACCCCACCACCAAATCATCAGAGAAAACCTCCAAATCTGCGGTGATGAAAACCATGAAAGTCCAGAAAGGCGAAGTGATTTCAGATCATCTCAACGCGCTCTCGCCTTATTGGGACCAAGCCATGAAGGATTTTGGACGATACATACCACTCTCGATCTTTGATCCCTCGTGGTTGAGACAAGACATCGCGTTCATATCCAACAAATCGTCACGAGCAAAAACGAAAGACGTAGAATCAAACACCTACAACGGATCTCCGATCCCGAGTGAATGGAGGACCACTGTAGCCCAGTGGCACCGTCAGAAAGAACTCTTCCTACAATACCTAGAGCGTTATAGACAAACCAAAGTCTTACCAGTGATGAAACGACACTTCGAAAACGTTCTAGAAATCCAAAACGAACAAGACGGTTGCTGGGTGTTAGCCTTTCGATATGATATGATGATGCGTCAGACTTACATGGTGTTTAAAGTAGGACCGGAGGGTACTGAAATGGCTGATATCGGCGTGAGAAACCCAAGGATTTACCGCTTAGCAGAACGCGACACTATTCGGTACAACGATGACATGTACCTCGACAATCCTTACGCAATCACGGGTGCCAAGTCCTTCATCGACCCCTTCGATGGGTCCAACTGGGCAGGTAGACCAACGAGATGGGACGACCCAAGTCGAACCGACTCAAAAGAAGATCGTCTAGAACAGGCAAAACCAACCCAGTCAACCAGATCAGCACTCTGGTCCCAAGCTCGACATGAACCACATGAAAATCAAAACGCTTACCCGTCAACCCCTCAGGCATATCACCAGTACCACCTAACCCAACACTCAAACCCCCAACCGTACTTTCAGCAACAACACGTTGAACAATCAGGAGTGAGAGTGAATCCTAACTTCAAAGGGAAGAAGGAAAATTTTATAGTGAATTATAAGAAAGACAACGGTAGAGGAGGTAGAGGCGCGAGGAGAGGAGGCGGCAATAATTGGGGGAGAGTGCAAGGCAGTGGTGAGAGTGTAGGCCCAATCGCGTCAGGTTCCCAGGGAACGCGCACGAATACGCCAACTGAGGGAAGCCAAAAGACGTGAGTATGATCTATAAATAGATAAAACACTCTGCAATAAATCCGTGTTTCAAACCAGCGCCCCATGTCCCAATGTGAGAGTGAAGAGTGAGAACTGACATATGCCCTCGTTGCTATGGAAAGGCCCCTACAAATCACAGAGCGGAGTGATGAAATGCCAGGGAGAGCCCAGATTCATGACCTCGAGAGACCTGAACCCGAACGACACAGAGCAGAACCTACAAGTAGGTGGCCGACCAAGGCAGAATGCGAATTAAATATCGACGAATGGGAAGCCCTTATGATTGAATGCAACCTGATGGACGAGTGGGGTGATGTGTTAGTGAGCTTGAGAGAAGGCTTTGACCAGGGTATACCCGAACATACAGTAGAAGACCTACCATGGTTTACACCCCCAAACCAGGCATCAGCACTCCTGGTGAAAGACAAAATCGAGCAAACGATCCCACGGGAGAAAGCAGAAAGCAAGTTGTATGGCCCTTTCACGCATCAAGAAGTGGAGCAACACTTCGGATTCTTCCGCTCAAGCCCAATGGGCAGTGTCACGAACAACGACGGGACTTTCAGAATGATCAATAACTTGTCGTATCCAAAACGTGGTACCACACCAGTAAGTGAAAATGCGGAACAAGAGACTCGTGAAGAAAAATACTGACACACACACAATTGACAGTCGGTTAACTCCTTTGTCGACAAAGATGAGTTCATCACGACGTGGGATGATTTCAAGATCCTAGCAGACTTCCTGAGGAAAGCCGATAAGAAATGGCAATTAGCTCTATTTGACTGGCTCAAAGCATACAGGCAGATACCAACTCACCCATCACAATGGAGGTATCTCCTCATTCTAGACTTCCTCAACAGACTCTGGGTTGACACGAGGGTTGGTTTTGGAGGCGTAGCCGGTTGTGGCACCTTTGGAAGGGCGGCCGACGTTTGGAAAGAAATCATGCAAACAATACTCGGTATCCCCAAGATATTCCGCTGGGTCGACGATAATCTCATCGTAAAGGAATTGGGATCAAACATCAGTATGGACTCGGTACTCCAACTCAGTGCAGGAATGGGAGTGAAAACGAACATGACGAAATACGCCGACTTTGCCGACGAGCAAAAATACCTAGGTTTTATATGGAACGGTAGGGAAAAGACGGTCAGACTCCCACTCGAGAAGCTCGAAACCAGGATAAAACAAGTAAAAGCCTTACTTGATGGAGAGAAGTGGAAGAAGAAACCGGTCGAAAAACTTGTAGGCCAACTCTGCCACATAACATACA